TTTTAAAATACATTTAAATTCAGTCTTCGGAGACCCATCGAAAGACAGGGCTAGAAACTATGGCACGTAAATCCGACGCTGGAAATAAGTTTGCAGTAAACGTAAGTAGGATTTGATGAGCAGTTTTCGAAACAGAAATTTAATCTGTGACTTCAGAGAAGCGTAGCTGGCGAATTATTGTTTCTAGGCCAGGTCATTCTGTCTCATATCGAACGTTGGCGATGTGTTCTTTATTTTCAGCTCGAACAAAATCCTTACTCCGCGATCTATCGATCGATCTGTTGGTACTTTTATCTGTCTTTACGTATCTCGGATCGGCTCTGATCCTGACTCACAAACCGAATTGTCCTTAATCTCATTTTGAGGCAAAAGCCGTCCGTAGCAGCATCTTTAAATATCTAACTTCTTATCTGCACGGTTTTTTTTATTATTTTATTTTTGGAAATAAATCCAGACAGTAAATTAATTAGTAGCATTTTGAATCCTACTTCTTGAAGAAATAATACTGTGTAAGACTTGAGGTTCTCACAGCGGTGAGTATGAAGATTTCTGTCTTGTGGGTTGTTGCGCTGTGTAGTCTGGTCGATGTTAACCAACGTTTCAGAGGGCATACTGCCTCCGTCATCACCCTGATGACGGAGGCAGTATGACCTCTGAAACGTTGGTTAACATCGACTAGACTACACAGCGCAACAACCCAGAGGACAGAAACATTCATACTCATCGCCCTGATGACGGAGGCAGTATGACCTCTGAAACGTTGGTTAACATCGACTAGACTACACAGCGCAACAACCCAGAGGACAGAAACATTCATACTCATCGCCCTGATGACGGAGGCAGTATGACCTCTGAAACGTTGGTTAACATCGACTAGACTACACAGCGCAACAACCCAGAGGACAGAAACATTCATACTCATCGCCCTGATGACGGAGGCAGTATGACCTCTGAAACGTTGGTTAACATCGACTAGACTACACAGCGCAACAACCCAGAGGACAGAAACATTCATACTCATCGCCCTGATGACGGAGGCAGTATGACCTCTGAAACGTTGGTTAACATCGACTAGACTACACAGCGCAACAACCCAGAGGACAGAAACATTCATACTCATCGCCCTGATGACGGAGGCAGTATGACCTCTGAAACGTTGGTTAACATCGACTAGACTACACAGCGCAACAACCCAGAGGACAGAAACATTCATACTCATCGCCCTGATGACGGAGGCAGTATGACCTCTGAAACGTTGGTTAACATCGACTAGACTACACAGCGCAACAACCCAGAGGACAGAAACATTCATACTCATCGCCCTGATGACGGAGGCAGTATGACCTCTGAAACGTTGGTTAACATCGACTAGACTACACAGCGCAACAACCCAGAGGACAGAAACATTCATACTCATCGCCCTGATGACGGAGGCAGTATGACCTCTGAAACGTTGGTTAACATCGACTAGACTACACAGCGCAACAACCCAGAGGACAGAAACATTCATACTCATCGCCCTGATGACGGAGGCAGTATGACCTCTGAAACGTTGGTTAACATCGACTAGACTACACAGCGCAACAACCCAGAGGACAGAAACATTCATACTCATCGCCCTGATGACGGAGGCAGTATGACCTCTGAAACGTTGGTTAACATCGACTAGACTACACAGCGCAACAACCCAGAGGACAGAAACATTCATACTCATCGCCCTGATGACGGAGGCAGTATGACCTCTGAAACGTTGGTTAACATCGACTAGACTACACAGCGCAACAACCCAGAGGACAGAAACATTCATACTCATCGCCCTGATGACGGAGGCAGTATGACCTCTGAAACGTTGGTTAACATCGACTAGACTACACAGCGCAACAACCCAGAGGACAGAAACATTCATACTCATCGCCCTGATGACGGAGGCAGTATGACCTCTGAAACGTTGGTTAACATCGACTAGACTACACAGCGCAACAACCCAGAGGACAGAAACATTCATACTCATCGCCCTGATGACGGAGGCAGTATGACCTCTGAAACGTTGGTTAACATCGACTAGACTACACAGCGCAACAACCCAGAGGACAGAAACATTCATACTCATCGCCCTGATGACGGAGGCAGTATGACCTCTGAAACGTTGGTTAACATCGACTAGACTACACAGCGCAACAACCCAGAGGACAGAAACATTCATACTCATCGCCCTGATGACGGAGGCAGTATGACCTCTGAAACGTTGGTTAACATCGACTAGACTACACAGCGCAACAACCCAGAGGACAGAAACATTCATACTCATCGCCCTGATGACGGAGGCAGTATGACCTCTGAAACGTTGGTTAACATCGACTAGACTACACAGCGCAACAACCCAGAGGACAGAAACATTCATACTCATCGCCCTGATGACGGAGGCAGTATGACCTCTGAAACGTTGGTTAACATCGACTAGACTACACAGCGCAACAACCCAGAGGACAGAAACATTCATACTCATCGCCCTGATGACGGAGGCAGTATGACCTCTGAAACGTTGGTTAACATCGACTAGACTACACAGCGCAACAACCCAGAGGACAGAAACATTCATACTCATCGCCCTGATGACGGAGGCAGTATGACCTCTGAAACGTTGGTTAACATCGACTAGACTACACAGCGCAACAACCCAGAGGACAGAAACATTCATACTCATCGCCCTGATGACGGAGGCAGTATGACCTCTGAAACGTTGGTTAACATCGACTAGACTACACAGCGCAACAACCCAGAGGACAGAAACATTCATACTCATCGCCCTGATGACGGAGGCAGTATGACCTCTGAAACGTTGGTTAACATCGACTAGACTACACAGCGCAACAACCCAGAGGACAGAAACATTCATACTCATCGCCCTGATGACGGAGGCAGTATGACCTCTGAAACGTTGGTTAACATCGACTAGACTACACAGCGCAACAACCCAGAGGACAGAAACATTCATACTCATCGCCCTGATGACGGAGGCAGTATGACCTCTGAAACGTTGGTTAACATCGACTAGACTACACAGCGCAACAACCCAGAGGACAGAAACATTCATACTCATCGCCCTGATGACGGAGGCAGTATGACCTCTGAAACGTTGGTTAACATCGACTAGACTACACAGCGCAACAACCCAGAGGACAGAAACATTCATACTCATCGCCCTGATGACGGAGGCAGTATGACCTCTGAAACGTTGGTTAACATCGACTAGACTACACAGCGCAACAACCCAGAGGACAGAAACATTCATACTCATCGCCCTGATGACGGAGGCAGTATGACCTCTGAAACGTTGGTTAACATCGACTAGACTACACAGCGCAACAACCCAGAGGACAGAAACATTCATACTCATCGCCCTGATGACGGAGGCAGTATGACCTCTGAAACGTTGGTTAACATCGACTAGACTACACAGCGCAACAACCCAGAGGACAGAAACATTCATACTCATCGCCCTGATGACGGAGGCAGTATGACCTCTGAAACGTTGGTTAACATCGACTAGACTACACAGCGCAACAACCCAGAAGACGGTAATCTTCAGAATTAATACTGATTTGACAAAGGACTTTGCTTTCCAGAATAGCGGGGACATATGTTTTGAAGCGAGTCCTTTACCTACACCAAAACGAATGATTTCTTCAGAGCCCGTCCAATCCGAAAGTGATTATCAGCGTCATTTCCTTACGACGCAGATCGAAATAAGTAACATTTTCTTTAGCTGTTGGCATAACTGCTGTTTGTCTTTCTGGCGTTTGAATATTCCCAGTTCAAATACAAGCCGTGGATCTAATATCTATAATTCCTTAATAATTACGTCACAGTACATAACCTAAGCGTCCTGTGACGTCATTCACATAATCATCCCAGCAAACTTCATTCTGCGCTGTATGGCCTAATGACATAAATTGTAAGAAGTGCAGTATTTAATTATTTTCTTTTTGGATTCATATTAGATATTCTTCAAGATCTAGCGTGGGCGTTGAACACGTCTTGGGCCGGCCATATCTGTGTCTGTCTGTCTCTCGAATCGCGCTTTCCTAGAAGGTAGGCAATTTGTATAAACGATGGTCATTTTTTTCGAAACAATGGTAACCTATTTTTATTGTCAATTTTATTATAATTTCTTTTCCTGACATTCGTATTATTGACATCCCTTGGATTTGCTTTCGCCGGGTTGGACACCCCTTTGCCCCATCATCTCACATCAACCAGGTCTCAGGATGACCGGAAATTACCACTGGGTTTTTACCTTTCTTTCATATTTCCATTATTCCATTCGCCTTTTTCTTCTTCATTTAATGTTTCGTTTATTTACTGTTTTTAAATTCCTGTAATCTCGTTCCCAGTTACCATGACTGCCAAATTTAAGGACGAACGACACTTATGTCCCTCTAGCAGTGACACGTCTCGAGGGTGACAATAAGTTAACACTAACCTAACCTAACCTAACCTAACCTAACCTAACCCAAACTAACCTAACCTAACCTAAACTAACCCAAACTAACCTAACCTAACCTAACCTAACTAACCTACTAACCTAACCTAACTTAACCCAAACTAACCTAACCTAAACTAACCCAAACTAACCTAACCTAACCTAACCTGCGCGTCGCGTGTTGTGAATGTAGTACGCGGTAAGAACACGAAAAGCTGCTGGTAGCACGGTGGGAAATGAACGCTCTCTGACCAGACAGGAGTAGAGACAGGAGCTGTAAATCAGAACTCGGAACACCGAACAGTGTAAACGTCACTGATCACAAGGCAATCAATTGAAACACTAGTTGGTATATATACATAAACGTTCTGTTTACTCGAGATGTTAGGCGTTCAAATACTATCAATACGTTGTTTGCAGAAGATGATACGTGTTCAAATACCGTCGCTATATTGTTAGCAGAAGTTGGCGTATCTAATTACTCTAATTATTGTTATTTGCGTTGTTTCATTAACAGGAATCATCCGTGACAACGTGTACCGAAGGTCCATCTGCCAAACAGCACCCAGCTTCTGCGACAGGTCAGCGCAATCAGGATAATGCAGAACATAGCCACCAGAACGATCCTGTGACCTCCTCACCCACTGAACGCTGGGTGACCTCTACAGGTCAACTGCTTAGAAGACAACGGTAACCATGCCAACAGACAGCATCTGCAACGAAGGGCGCTGAGACCCACGAAGAATGATACGTCGTCCAGTTTCAGAAATAGCGTCTTGTTTCGAAGAGGGATTTCATAAACTTCAAGATAGATTTCGATTCTTGTTTTAAGGCTCTGAATTAATATGTAAAATATTTCCAAAATTATGTATGTTTAATAATACAACTGACTGTGTTATTTTAAGTTCTTGGGACTCGAATGTTGCATTAAACTTTGTTGATGCGATCTTGTGGATAAAAAGACAACTAGTGTGTTAAGCAATAACCTACAGAGCATAGATACTGAGGCATAATTAGAATATGTAGTACTTCCAACATATTTCCCCACACCATAAAATTCATAAATCGCCCTCGTGCTCGCCACTGGACCCAGGGTTCGCGGGTTCAAATCCGGCACTAGGTCGATGGATTTTTAAAAGTGATAAAATTCCGTAGCCCAAGTTTCTTCAGAGGGGAAGTACAGCCGACGGTGCCATGTCGTAGATTTACGTCAAAATTCAGCTTACATTTCTCACCCAATTCTCTCCTGATTCGCTACTAGATGGCTCTAGGAGACAAAATCATGATTTAGTAGAAATTGTGCAGAGGCAGTGGGCTGACCACTCACTACTCACAAATGCACACTTGACAGGCTAGGAAACCTCCGAACAGGAGGCGGCGAGGACTCACAAATGGATTCTAGAGCCAAGTAAAAGAATAATGAAATGCAAAATGTGATCTCAACATTTCTTTGGATAATTTATCGAAATATAAATAAAAAAAAATAAAAATATCTCGGAATTGGCACAAGACTCATAGTTATCGTCCAGTTTTAAAATAAAAAAATAATATGCTGTTTCGATATTACGAGGACTTCTACGCACATCAGGATAGATTTTAAATCTAAAAAATGTAGTAAGGCATTCATTGCTTTTCTCGCAGTAGACGCAACGGGAACGTCACGTGACTAATATAAAGTGTGTAACACAGGAAGTGGAAAAATGTAACTTACTAATTGGATGAGTACCTGCTTATTTCGAAAAGTGACATAGTTCCCGGTTTTCGATTCCAGAGACGCATTAATGACGTCAGACGAGTTAATTGATTAGATATAACATCGAAAAAATATATTTTATGTCAATGAGATATAGGTTAAAAATCAATTTTATTTCGCCTAATATCGCAATATGGTTCAATAACCCTTCAATTAACAGCAGAACGATCCAGTCAGCCTGTTAACACGCTCTTAATATTCCACATTTCAAATTGAGGTTAATTTTTTCTTGTGATTATAATCGTAGAAATTTCGTAACATCAACAGTAAATTTCATATCGGTATTTTATATAGTTTCGTATAGTAAGTTAATCTAATCTGTACACATTTGACTCTTCTTAAACCCTTCGATTTTCGTATTGAAATGTTTTTTTTTTAATTACGTAATTTAAGGTTTCATAAAACAAATGGAAACACCTAGTTTATATATATTATTTAGTCATCTTCCTTACTGGAATTATATATCCATATATGTGTGGAAAAGTTAATTAACCGAGGAATATATAATTTTTATTTTCTCACAAGCAGGAGGTGACTTTTTATGTTAGCGATACAAGTTTGGATTCCTAGTTTAATTTATAAATAGTGTTGAAGTTCCAGACTTAGGAAGTCTAATTTAGTTTACACATAAAAACGTTTATAGTATTTCCATTGCTGTTCAGTGTTAAAATACGTCAGATGCAAACATATCGGTCTGATTAACTTAACATGTACTTGGTTTCTATCGGATCCAGAAATCTACGACATGTTAAATTTTAATTAATAACTCAAGTTGTTTTATAAATGCATGTTAAAATGTTATTCAGGGCCTTAAAATAGTGATAAGAATATGAAGAAATTAACTACCAGTAAGTGAGTTTATTCGCACTGTTAATAAGTAAGCTAACCTGAAGAAGTTTTGTAATGCGTTTGATTCTAGTTGTGAGACGAGTGGTGTATTGAAGTAACATTTGAAGTGGTACTTACAGTGACTTAACGAATGTTTCACCATTTCTTATATGACAAGAAGAAGATTGGCGATGAAATTGTGAGTTTGGTTTTCGGTTCAACGGGGACCAATACTGTAGACGTTAGTCGGTATAAAATGAAACTACTTACTTATGTCACAGTAGTACTAATCATGATTAAACGTATCACATCTTACATCTGCAAGAGCTGTTTCATCGTATTTGTGCCATTCCTTTCAATTTTTGGAAACTCAAATCGTGGTTCCTTAACTCCATCAGCCATAACATAACCCCCCCCTCCAAAAAAAAATCACTGAATGTCTGTAAAATGAAGGGCACAGTTGGGAGGAATTTATTTTACATACAGATCGAGGGATATTCACTTTTTCTGAGTTTTAATGAAGAAAACCTCGAGAAACATTGGTTGGCGTGAAATTTACAGAATGATTTATGAGATTAAATCCCATATTTATGACGAAAATATCTGTTTGTGTAAACTCAAAATGTAAAGCATGTGCCTCAGGAACTCGGGGGGTTTTCGTAGTCACCATTCAACAGCGATAGTGATATCACCAGAGTCATTCTACTAGATCTCATACAACCTCGTGTTCAAATCCCAACGTCACTCATAAACCTGCCTTATAGTATGATTCAAGCAAAATGGTTGTCTCAGTTAAGTCTTCCTCTAGAAATTTCCACAGTCAATCCATCGAATATTCTGGAAAGGTTCGTCACAGTGCGAATAATAGTGGATGAATACCCGTTTGAATTCAGTGGTAAATTCTTTCTTAAGTAATTTTAAACTTTGCGTCTTATCGTTGTTTTGCGTGCAAATCAAACCGTAATTTCCAAACGTCACAATACAACTTTCAGAGTGCGTTGAACTATTTCATGATGCCTGACACGTTTCAAAACTTTATATTCAGTTTCAGTGGGCTTATCGTGAAGAGGGAAAATTTGTTTACGTTTGCAAATGCTACGTTGAATCGAGGTTCTTACGTGTTTACACTTTACAAAACACGATTTCGATTAAATGCATTTTGCTAAATTTAAACTCTATGTCACCGCAAGTCCGATCAAAAAGTCGTACCTGTGTATATTAAAAAATAGTGACGCATTTATAGCCACATTAGAACATAATGAATGCGAGATGAACAAAAAATAAGTGAGTTTAATGAACTTTCTGAACTGACAGAACGCACGCAATCTGAAAGACCGGGCAGGACTGAAACAAAGGACACAAATTCAGCTGGGAAAAATACACGAATATTAATAACAGCAAAATTTACACGCCAGAGACACTTAAAAGAAAGGAACTTGATGAACACACAGGAAGAGGATGAACGAGGCATATATGGCCGGTGGTACTGGGCTAATACGCAGAATGTCGGGTGTAATGGTTCATAATAACGAAGGGAAGGGACCTAAAATATGTTTATAAAAAATGAAAATATGAAGGGAAGAATTCTATACAAGAAATTTTTACGTAACCGCCAAATGGGGCAAGTACATTAAACACGCTTCGGGTAGACCCAGGGTCATAGGACGTGACGTACGAAGATGACTCCCTGGGACACCAGAGTCGCTTGTGATCAACTCTGCACACAGTAGAAGCCTTGCTGTTGCGCTGTGCGGCCGTCCCGTGGCAGGCCTTTGTAAGACGTCAACTGGAGATGGTAAGTGAAATGAACTTTGCTGGTAAATCAGCCCCACGGCTTGTGCAGAAAAGTATTCAGGATGACGCCATCCAGACATTAACGTGTGTCGCCGACTGGACGAAAATTGTATAGTTCCTGGCATTGTGGCTCGGTTGTCCAATATCGCTCTGACCGTTTAACCTTCAAAGATGAAGATTGTGTCCGTACTCACTCACGGGTTCAAGGCCTCACGCCTCGTCTCCAACACTGCGACTGGCTTCTTCAGGAAGAAGAACGTGATACAGGCTCACTGGCAATTGTGTGGTTGTGACGTACTACTCCCCGATCGCGTAATGGACCAGCGTGTTGCGTGTTCCTGTAGGAAGTTTTACATGTGCTGCTCGAAGAGCGTGGTTTAAGTCCACAGACCCCCAACAGAACCTCAGTACATCGACGTGAGGTTGCATGTCGGTGAATGCGTGGTGGATATTTTGAGTGATTACTGTAACTGACGCCCTCTTAGTTACTTATCTGCCGTGTTCTATGTCGGCATGCGTTGTAAAATGAACGGGTTTCTGTTTTCATTTGATTTTGACACGTACATACGCTATTATTTTCTGTAAACTTACTTCGTCATGAACGCCACCTGAAGTTTCAACCCTCCATGTGTCTTCCTCACCCCCTAAGCGTCACCACTCATTTCTTTGCTTCTTATGATCGGTGAGACACTTTCCCCATTTGGTGATTACTTTTAGAGAATTCTTCCTTCTTGTTTTCGTTTTGTTTTTGAGGTTTCTGTCCATTCCCGTTGTTGTTATGCGTCATTTTTTCCACACACACTATATTGTACAATACAGTATAATTCTTTCCTTCATCTCATACATACTATAAAAACTCCTTAATGGTTGCAGCACTTTTAAAATAGAACATCATGTCATCTATCATCATTACTGAAGACATTGTCAGTGATGCATACCAAACACACATACACGATCAGTCACAAACATTAACTATTACGTGTACAGGTTCGGACTGTTTATTTATAACGTCGTATGCATGATAGAGAAGCCACGGTGGTCTAGCGGTTAGAACGCTGGCCTTGTAATCCTGGGGTCTCGGGTTCGATTCCCGGCGGTGCCCGAATTTATAACTTGTGTTGGGCAAGGCCGTGGTCTAGGCAACACGGAGTTTTCCTCCGGGGGCTCCCCGGTTTCTCCGTGGCATCCCAACAATTACTCCATTCACACACAGAAGAAGGCAATGGCAAACCACTTCTGGATCATCTGCCAAGAACGTATATGAACAGGTCCAAGTCCGAGAAACCTCATTGGCATCCCAACAATTACTCCATTCACACTCACACAGAAGAAGGCAATGGCAAACCCCTTCTGGATCATCTGCCAAGAACGTATATGAACAGGTCCCAGTCCGAGAAAAGGATGGAAGGATCCTGTTCATATGGACCTGTCGTCAGACAGAACACTAAATAATAATAAACATGCATGATAGATCAGTAAGGCAACTGATATAAGAAAAGTTGCAAAATTCTTGGAGAGCAGTAGACGTAAGTTGGGAAATAGGATTAGAAAGTTAGAAGTGCTTCGGACTGTTGAAGTAGGCTATTAGACCAGTAAAGATGTAACCAGAAAATTGTTTTACAAGGGTGGAGAGAAAATCTGAAATATCACTTAAAACATATTTATTGAAAATTACAACAAATCTTCATATAAAAATTACATAATTCATTGTACCAAAGAAATAATTAACAATGCTAAATTGGAGAACATAAAACGATTCAATGCAGTGCGATCTCGAATGTGAAATTAATTTTCAGTTTTTGAGTGTCGAATCTGTTAGAACAGAACGGACCTAACCGGTCGTTGGCCGTCAACATTCGACCTCTTCAACAGAGCCTATTATGCAAACTTCATTTCTTTGTTTTCCCTGACGTACGTCAGCAGTGTTTTGTTTTCAGCGTCGGAAACTGTTTCTCCCTAGACAACCTTGGAAGTTTTTGAGACCTCCACTGACATTTCCTCTGCACTTGCTACATGTTATAGCAGAAACAAAAGAAACTAAGTCCACTAATGAATTCTGTTTTGTGCTCTAGGCGATTTTCATATTAAAGTCCACACAGACGAGCCACGACATGTTAGCAAGAATATCTGGAAGTAAGTATTATGTCATGAAACGTATTCAAGTCTGACGGCCACTTCCTTAAACCACAAACAGATTATTTTGTAAGTTACTGAACTTATACAGTTTGTCCTTTGTTTCTGTAAGTGATATTTCACGGTCTGCATCAGACTCATTAATTACAATCAATATCAAAATTTGAAGGTGACACGGTGGTCTAGCGGTTTGAACGCTGGAAAGGTGCTATATATCTTTAAATTAGAAACGTCTCTTAAAATTTGACGTTCCTTCATGACGAGGAAAGTTTAGTGTCATGATTTAAAATATGAGTGATTTGAACAGCTTTCCGACGAGCGATATAATTTCTGATCCTCTCCAAACGTTATCTTCGTGAGGCCGGGGGGGGGGGGGCAGGTGTGAAGGAAGTATCCTAGTTAAAGAGGTCAACTCTTTCTAAGGACACAGGTACTATGTGAGACTAGGAACCCACAACGACGTCTTGATTGTAGCCACAGGCATCTAAGAGATGGTCGCTTAGTAGCCCACCAAATTTTTAAAAAGGGAAATGCTTGCATATAGCTATATAGGACCCATTCTAAATACCTGCTTTCTTTCTTTATAAATAAAACAATGTCTATCGTAGTTATTAGTTATTTGACATTGTTGGGATAGGCTATGGGACCGGTCAGCTGATTCTAAAGGAAGAACTCCACATGCGACGCATCCTGTCTGAGGACCAGAAGCAGAATCGACTTCTCGTTTGTCAGGAGCTCAAAGATCTTGCAAGAACCGACCCCAACTTCCTTTCTAAGCTCCGTGTGACTTCTTCCTCTTCCCAAAGATGAAAATTCAGCTAAAGGGAAGGAGATTTGAGACGATAGAAGAGATTCAGGCAGAATCGCAGATGGTGCTTGACAGGCTGACAAAGAAAGATTGCCAGGGATGCTTCCAGGCTTGGCAGCGGCGCTGGGATCGTTGTGGTCACTCCCAGGGGAACTACTTCGAGGGTGATGGATGAATTTAATACCTGAGATAAGTGTACGGGTTTTTATACGCGCAGTCTGGAAACCTTTCGATCGCACCTCGTATATTATATTATGATTATTATGATCTTAGTGAAGATCCCAGAAACATACTCCAAAGTAAAGCTTCTGTCTTCTTAATATTTTTATTGTTACTAAGCCGGTACATAAATTATGTTCTTACGACCCCAGTCTACGTCCACAAATGGTCTCAATTAATTTTCTCTGCACCAAATGTTGTTTGCATTCCTCGTCTATTCCATACGTACTTAACTTCTTGACAATCCCGTCCTTTTTTTAAACTTTATCTGCTTTATAATATCACGTGACAAGCGTCGATTGTTACTACAAAGAACTGATTTTGAAATGTTTGTGCTCCGAAGTGGACTGCGCCATCGCACTCTCGTTCCAGTGAAGTGTTGTACCCCGCTCCTCGAACATGATATTGTACTTTGTATTTAGCTGTCGACAGCACCGATTTGAAATTGACTACGCGTCCGTTTAGTAATTCTATTCTCGCGAAATGCGAGAACGGTCTCGGCTCTCGTAAAACATCCATTAATTCTTCTGCAACCAAAAAGACGACAGCTTAGTGGAAGGAAATGTTTAGGAATCATCTGTTATTTTAAATCTGATAATAATGTAAAGTGTTTTTTACGCTGTTGAGAAATTATACCTGATAAAAATGGCCTCGTGATGTAAGATACAGCTCTTAAACTGGCAAAGCAGGTTCGAATCCCGTTCGAAACATGGATTTAGATGTGAGTCGTCCTGTACGGTATTGTGTTGTTTATGTAGTGGCTTTAGAGCCGAAACACGTACAAAATTCCCTAAGGACGATATTCAACAGGTGAGTCAGAGGTCAAGGAATATGAGAGAAAGTTACAATTTTTTTCAAGTCTGTAGTTTATGTTATGTTGATTCAGTCCAATCGCTAGGGACCAGGACTCGCCAAGCTCCGAAAAAAAAAGACATTCGAAACTTTTAAAATAATTTTAACCAATTTAAAACTTTTAACATATAATTTTAACATTATTTATTTACGTCTGGAAGAGAAAATACGGTCCCCAGTGCAATGTCATAAAAGCATGAAATTTAAACTGAAAATGCCCCTTTAGGCCTGAAACATGTTTAAAATCATTCATTGTCAGGATTTTTTCCATCGTCTGTAGAGTAGGTGCCTCTCACCTGAAAACGGAGACAGAACCAGTCTCCGAAACGTCGTGGTTTTAAAGAACAGACGATGGAAAAATTCCTGGTAATGAATAATTTTAAGTGTTAACTACCGTAGTCAAAACCCTTTAGAATTGACCTGAAACATGTTCTAGCAAATGGACTGTAAACTGGACGAGTAAAAATTGACGGAACAATAAAAAACCATGTTTTCCAGTTTATTATTAGATAATATTTTCTTTACACAATAATTAATTCCTTGATTACATATAAATTAACACCTCTTAGCTTAACGAACAGCAAAGATACCCCTGTTGCCTATGCATCACGCTACAAAATACGAAGACGTATGAGAAAATGGAAATAAATCTCCAAATATTTTTGACCTGTTAGTAGTTAGAGGTGACTAGATCAGCTTCTCGCTCCGTATGTTTTATCCCGAGGAAAAGATACTCCGGTCAATACCGGATTGGATTGAGATCAGATCTTGACGTCATGGGAGTTGAACCCCGTCCTTCCAGAACGTAGCCACTCGCTGTCCTGGGTCAATCGGTCGTTTCAGAAGGAAAGACTGATAATCACGCACTCTAATTAACCGATGTGGTGAATTAGTCTAGTTTCATGGTAAATATCTTTCGTCCGTATGGCCTACATGTTTATGTTTAATCAATGTGACGTATTTGTCCGCTTCTCCTTAAATCCTGTCTAAAATTCGCGTGCAGACTAATGTAGAGGCGGTCCGACACGGAGATAGATATTGGTGATCACACGGATTTCATGTGCCTCCTAATAAATACGAGAGATTTATATCAGAAATGGATATACATTCAAAAGTTACATCATCCCATTATGGTAAAAATACTTTACCGATCTACATATTTAATTAATCCCATGAAAGACCTTCAGCTTACATGCAAACGAGGGCGGGTGACGTAAAACCGAGACCCATTTTTAAAAACTGAAATAATATTAGCGGTTAAAATTTTTAAAGTCCTGTGTTAAAAGTATATATCGCCTGTTCTAATCTTAAATAAATTTGCATTTTGCATAATGAGTTTATTTATGTGTATGTATTGTACGACTATACAAATAAACGGCGATTAATATAAAAAATAACATTGACTAATTAAACTTTGCATTGAGCTTATGCTTCAGATGCTTAAATAAGTTCTGAAGTGTACGAGGTGCGATCGGAAGGTTTTCAGACTGCGCGTATAAAAACCCGTACACTTATCTCAGGTATTAAATTCATCCATCACCCTCGAAGTAGTTCCCCTGGGAGTGAACACAACGATCCCAGCGCCGCTGCCAAGCCTGGAAGCATCCCTGGAAATCTTTCTTTGCCAGCCTGTCAAGCACCATCTGCGATTCTGCCTGAAGCTCTTCTATCGTCTCAAATCTCCTTACCTTTAGCTGAATTTTCATCTTTGGGAAGAGGAAGAAGTCACACAGAGCTAAATCCGGCAAGATCTTTGAGCTCCTGACAAACGAAAAGTCGATTCTGCTTCTGGTCCTCAGACAGGAACCTTGGCACAAACTTGGCTGCGATGCGTCGCATGTGGAGTTCTTCCTTTAGAATCAGCTCACAGGTCCCATAGCCTATCCCAACAATGTCGCACAAGTCGTTGATGGTACGACGTCGATCTTCGTAACAGTTTCGGGCGTTGTGCTCGAAGATGGTCGTCCAGAACGCTCGTCATCATCGACAGAGGTTCGGCCATTTTTAAAACGTGAATGCCACACAAAAGTTTGCGGACTCCCCAAATGCTTGCTTTAGCATTTCATAGGTTTCCGTAGCCGTTTTGGCGAGTCTTTGGCAAAATTTGATGCACACGCCATTCCGAAAGCGCAGGAGGGTCGGTGTAATGCACTACCAAAACGCCCGTAATGGTGTGTTCTCAGTTTAATCTTTGTTGATGAAACTGTCTTCGAGCTACAAGCCGCTTCAGTTGGCTGAACGACGAACAAACCAAATCTTCTGCCAACGTTTCGAGAACCATCTCTGTTCTCATCCTCAGGGTTGCTGGGTAACCAGTCACTTTTTACACACGATGCTACTAGTTTGCGAAATGTCTGTTGGTGTTGAACCTCGTGTTTAGACCGAAAACTAGTCATCTTCATGTTCGTAGAATGCATATTAGTCGCTGCACGTTTTACTGCCAATAAATGTTTATGTAAATGTTTTGATACATTCAGTAGAGTCTTTAAAATATATTTACAGTATCATTAATACACTTTCTGTCTGATCTTCATGGAATTTAACAAAATTTAGAAGTGTATTTCAAGCCGGAATACACATTGTATCATCATGTGTTCTTTGCAAGTTGCATTTGGAGGGAAAATCAACCTTGTTCGACATTTCACACTTTGCCCGTCAGATCGCAGCATCTCATTATCTGCCTCACGAATTTCCTCATCCATCACTGAAAACATCGCTCTAAGAGATTTCAAAAGAACGATTTTGAGATCGCGTGGAATTTCACAACCTCCACATAAAATTTCATCAAAATTCGTAGTTCTTAAATTGAATCGACTGGAAAGACGGACAGACACAATCAGACCACAATTCTTTCTCGCCGTGCACTTCGTGTAAAAATCGCATGACGTTTCTTAATAACATTTTTAGAGCGAATCGCTTAACCGTGTGCTGCGCTCTGGCGGCTGCTCGACGCTAGAAGACTCGGCGGACTCGAGAGCTCAATCACAGTGTTTGGTCCCTGTATTATCCGCTTTCCCACCCATGTCTTGTAATGACGTGTTGTAGATCTGTGGTTTCTTTCTATCTTGAAATTTGGCCAACGAAATAAATGTGAGAAAAATCACAAAGGCTGCTGAATTAACTATTTTATTTTTTATTATTAGTGTTCTGTCTGACGACAGGTCCATATGAACAGGATCCTTCCATCCTTTTCTCGGACTGGGACCTGTTCATATACGTTCTTGGCAGATGATCCAGAAGGGGTTTGCCATTGCCTTCTTCTGTGTGTATGGAGTAATGAGTAATTGTTGGGATGCCACGGAGAAAAACTCCGTGTTGCCTAGACCACGGCCTTGCCCAACACAAGTTAGAAATTGTGGGACAAACTTCACTTTACTTTTATAAGAAATTCTCTCCAGGAAAGCTAATAAATTATCTTTGTTCACTTGTCGGTGTCTCATTGAGATTTAAAAGCTGAAATTAGTGTAAATATTGCGTCTGTTAAAATGACAAAGACGATCTTCTGTATACCAACGTACGTAAGAACTCTTTGCATAGAGCAGAATTAAGGCCAGTGCAAACAGCGTATTTAAATGTTGTAATTGTAATGTAATTTTTTATTGCTTCTAAGCTTAGTTAACATTGCAAACAAATTCATCTCAGTGGGCGAAATAAGGAATAATTATGGAGAAAGAAATATAGTGACATGAATTACAAAATTAGTTCATGGAAGTCTTGATTTGTTCCAAGTTCTGGGTACCAGGGTTGCCAATATTCAGGTTAAGATTCAAAAAGTTCACTTCTTAAACTTAAATAATCGACGTT